AAACCAAACTAAAGTACCCTTCTGCTTCTTTTCTGTTTTAAGGTAACTGATGTGTTAAAAGCACTTTTTGTTGGCAGCAAAACAGCTGTACGATGCATCCCATTGCAGCTGTAGTGCTGGGCTAAATTAGACGTCACTTATCCGAGAGCAAACCCGGCACTGACAGCATCCGTCTCTTTGCTGCCTCTGCAGTGCCAGGAATTTTAAGGTTTCTAATGACTTACTGCGAGTTGTGCTGGCAGTCCTTGTGTAGGAGATGTAGCCACCAAGAACGCTTGGCTTATTGGTCTTTTTGCTCCAAGAAAGAGAATTGCCAATAAAATAGTAAAAAAATAACCCTTCATGACTTTGCGGTCAATAACCCTCAATGTTGGGGCCTAGAGCAGCATATTTCAGCTGATACCTGGCAGGTGTAACGTGCTTTTGTGGTGGGGTTAGGGAGCACCCCAACAGTTGCACCTCTTTCTCCGTGGGAGAGGATGGGTAAGGGCTGGAGGCAGCAGGCGGCGATGCCAATGAAACTCCACTTGTGTAGGCACGCTTATGCTCAGTTACAGGAGGGCTGAATTTGGCCTGGTAACTTCTAAAATCATACATATTTATCAGTACTCAATCATAGCAGAATTTAGGAGACATCTGTATTTCTTGCCCATAACAAAAGGAAGATATACTGCTGCAATATTAAGATTAAGTATAGCTCTTTCTCTTCTTTGACAGTCGTAATGCAACTCTTGAGATGTCGTATATCTCTTCCTAATGAAGTGTCAAAAATATTTACCTTCAGGACAAATTAGAAGAATAGCAAACACCCTTACTCTGTATTAAAGAAGTTGGTACGTTAATGTCAGCAGCGCACAAGCTCTCTCTGGTGGTCCTGCAAAGCTGAAGGTGGCACTGAGCATCGTTAGGTTTGATCAAAGTATAAATAGTGGTGAAGGGGGGGGGAATGGAAACAACAAAGTTAAAAGATTTGAAATTGGAATCTGATGATTTTTCCAAGTTCCTCAGGCTGTTTTGCACCTGGCTTTGCTCATCTGTGTGTAGGTGGTTTCTGGGATGGAAATAGCCTGAACTGTAATGATACGGAGGCCATCGATTTCTCTGGAGTGCCTGTCTGCAAATTAACTCGTAGCCTGTTTACCAGCTTTGGGCATCTGAACCGCAGGATTTTAGAGGCTGCATGCTTTAAAATTTCAAAAAGCCTCTTTCAGTGGAGTTTCATGCATTAAACTCAGCTGCAGGACTTATATACAGTTAACTTCTAAGCAACTACGGCGGTGTCGTGACATTTGTTCAGAAAGACTGACTTTATTTAATGTCTGTGCCTGCAATATTGATACCCTAATTTGGATCCAAATTCTGTTTGTCCTTAGTTGCACACACAGACAAGTGTGAAATACTGAAGGTGAAATTGATTTCTGTTGTTATTGAAGCAAACTGCTATTAGAAGTTGTATCTTTTCTATTGAGAAAGAATTTGCTAATACTAAAAAAATGATAGGCTTATGGCCCAGCTGAACTAATCTACTAAATCCATTTTAAGAAAGAAATTGTCTTTTTATTGAAAAGGCGTAATGCTCATCGTGCAGGGCACCTCCAGAGAGCCTTTGGCAGTTAGCTGGGCAGTCGCTCTGAATCCTGTCTCGCTACAGCGAAGGCCCCAAAGGAGCCGGGTCAGATATTGCTCTCCTCCCTGCTGCTATGTGCCTCACGTGCCAAAACACAGGCTGGTGGGGGGGTTACAGGAATTACTGCCACCCGAGCTCCATTACCAACACACAAGATGGAGCGTGGCTAAGCCAGTGGGTTTTGCCAGACTCTTCTCTGTATTGTTCATGGCTTTAAACTGAGCTGTGTTGTACAAGCTGTACTTGCCTCGTCTTAGATCTGTTAGGTATGAGGCAAGGAAGTGATTATTTTAACAAGTCGGCTGCTCTGCATTGCCATGAAATCATTTCCAAAGAGGTTTCTTTCTTGTCTCTCGGGTAGCACGTAGCTAGTCTTCTAGATGGATTGTACTAAATATTATTTTTTACAGATCCAGGTATCCCCTGCGACTACAGGCAGAGGCTTCCTGATCTCATCTTTGAATACATGGAGGATCTAAAGTGCTCTTACAACACATTGACAAAATCGATCCCAAAAGCACCAAGAGAAGCCACTTTGAATGCTTCTGTAAACTACAGTTTGCATGTTTTCAAAGATGTTTTATTTCTGTTATCTTGCCGTTTTTAAATGTTTCTTCAGTAAGAGTAACTTTAGTAGTACTAGTAATCATGTAGAATCTTTTAGGTGTAACTTTAATGTTTCCTTTGCATTTAGCTAAGAACAGGTACTTGAAGTGAAATATTTTATTTTTATATGTGTATGGGATGCCTGTGCCCGGGCAGGGGCCGAGGGGTCCCTGGGAGGAGAGGCTGGGGCTGCCCCGGACCAGGCACAGCCCCTTCCAACGGCCCCATGGCCAGGCACAACTGATGTGGTGTTTTAATTTTTGTCTTTGTTTCTCACCATTCAAATATATTTTATATGGCAGTAAATTAATTTAATTTTCTTCAAGTTGAGTCTGTTTTGTGCATGACAGTGATTGCTAAGTGAGCTCCCTGTCCTTATCTCAACCCGTGACCTTTGTCATCCTGTTGAGGACAAGGGGTGAGAGAGTGGCTGGGTGGGCCTCGGGCGGCTGGCCAAGATCAACCCCCCCCAACACGCTAATTTGAGAATGCATCAGATGAAACTGTGGTGGGAGTGAGAGTCTAGTAGCGTCACCGAAGTTGATACGGTTGCTGGAGGAATGAAGGTAACCTGTTGTACAGTTCAGGCATGTATGCGCTTCTTAAAAGGGCTGACTTGAGCTCGGTGCTGAGCACTGACGTTTAGCTTTCAAATAGTGATGACTGTTAGCGCTTGCGTATCAACCTGATTTTTAGGTACAGCCACTTCCTCGCTTCCTTGTGCCATACAGCATGCTTTCACGTTTATTTGTTCCTTCCGCAATTTACTTGTCAAAAGGAAAGCCAAAGATGAGCCTAGTCCTGAAAATCCACCTGTCAAGCTCCTGTCTGCTGGCTCCGTGACGTTTTGGCATTGCATTTACCTGTGCCAGCTGGATAGCAGGAGTGCTCTGGAAAAGGTCACCGCTGTCTTTACCTTTTGACTGACAGAACGGGGTAAATTTCAGAAAGCTTTTAACCTTCTCCATCTTTCCTAAAAATGCTAATAAAGGGGTTTGAGATCACCCAAGAGGTAGTAATCTTGATTTTAAAAGCCTTTAAAAAAGCTGTAGAACTAGAGAACAAAAGCACTTTAACACATTTTATATTTATGCTTTTCATAGCCGTGCCAGATCAAGCTTTGTCAATTTAGAGGAAAACAAAACATTTACAAAGGATGCAAGGACCGTTTTAAACAGCTCTGTGATGAGTGGCAGCCAGTGTCATTGTGGGAGCTCATCTTTTGGGCAACTCTGCAGCACAATGGTGGGCTACCTGAAGCATCTTTGCTATCTCTGCTACCTAAACCAGCCCAGATATTATCGCTTAAGGGCTCTATGGTTGTAACTATTCTGTCTGGTCTGATAGCAGTTGGAGTAGCATGGAAAGCACGTGCAGCTTTGAGTACCTGGACCATTTGTCCGGTACGGGCGTCTCTTGGTGGTACGCAATGCAATCGCTGTGCTGCCTGGATCTGCACGTTACATCTCCTCACTGGTATTCCCTGAAAGTTATCAGAAAATAAAGACAAAGTAGGAGTTAGTAAAAGTTTCCACCTTAGAGATCTTCTTCACTGTTGGTGAGGAAACAATTAATGATGATTAATGGCTTAATGATCTTGCACAGATAATGCTTTTTTAGGCAGCAGTGGTGTATCATGGCAAACAACTCTTCACACTGCCATAAACCCTGACTAGATTGTGAGTATTGGTTTTGTTTTTAAGTCATGGTGAAGTATGGCTTTTACACAAAGACCTGCACCTTTCTAAAGTCTAAGGGTGGTTTTTTTTTTTCTCCAACAGTAGCTTAAGCCACAGGCTTGAGAAGTAGTGCCAATATTTTGATAAAAGCTTGCTAATAGATGCTGAAGTGTCCCAGATGCTGAGGCAGTGTCCAAGCCTAATGAGTAGGCAAATGTACAGGCGGTAATTAGCTAGCATCTCGCTGAGCCCTTCCTAGACGGAGCACATGAAAGCGTTGTAAGGGTCCTCAGAAACACTCCTGTCTGAATACGAGTACTGCCTTATGAACAGGAGCATGATTTGTGCAAAGGGATGGGTTTGGAGAGGCCAGAACGGGGCCGCGCAAGGTTGTTAGGCACCGGGTAGGTGAAATAACGTAGCTCCCGGGGCTGCCTCGTCGATGCCAGCACCACGTCCTAATTCTGCAGCAGTTCAGCAATGGGAAAATGCCGGAGCAGCTTTGTGTCCTTCTCTGGATCCGTACATCAGGTCTGCTGTGCAGCATTGCAGTTTTTTTTTTTCAATCATTTTTTTTTTTTTTTTTTAATAAAAAAGGATTAAACGACTCCAAAAACACCTGTGCTCAGTGAGGTGCAGAATATCTCTAAGAGGGAGGACATTCTTGTTGTGTAAGTTTGTGAATGCGTTGCTAGAGTTTTTTTTCCTTTGATATTTAATTGTCAACAAGAATTTGCTGGTGGAGTTTTTTCAGAATGAAACTGTCCTTACCTGTTTGGTTTGTTGCAGACTTGAAAAGTCCATTTGTATTTTTCTTCTTTTTTTTCTTTCTTCTTTTTTTTGGGGAGCAGTTTAGTGCCAGCACAGGAGAAAGAAATTGCTGGAAAAGCAAAACTGTATGCAGCAAAGTTAAATGAACCATTTAAAATAATAGCGATATCTGCTCTCTGGGATCTAATGTTTTAAATGTCAGAGCGGAAGAAATTTGCTGGACCAATATGCAACTTTATTTAAAGGCCAAGGTTAATGATTCTTTGCATGCATATTTACTTTATTTGCCTCTGCTTTTTCTTTCTTGTTCATATTAGGCTGATGATAAAGACACTGGGAATTACAGTGCCATGCATTACAGACTCATCATTCCTCCAATCAAGGATGGTAAAGAAGGTTTTGTGATTGAAGCTTACACAGGGCTAATAAAAACTGCTATGCTGTTCAAAAATATGAGAAGATCCTATTTCAAGTTTCAGGTCATTGCAACTGACAATTATGGAAAAGGACTGAGCAGCAAAGCAGAAGTACTTGTAAGTATGAGCCAGGCATTATCTTTATGGAATAATTCCTGAGGAAATGCAGATACTACATAAAGTTTAATTCCAGGCAGACCTATAGGAAGGCCATAAACGGTGTCTACTTAATCTTTTGAAGTCACTGAAATAAAGCTTTTTTTTTTTTTTAAAAAAAAAACTAAAAGCTTTTATGGCCATCTGAAACACATGTTTGTGTTTCATGGCAGAGATACTCATCTCAGTTACCACACTAGACATGATGTTTGGTACTTTATTTATTCAAGGAGCCATTGTTAACAGTTCCGTTTAGATTCTAATTGTTGCCATTAAACATGGACGTAAGATATGTTCTGGGTGTGCTGGACCCAGATAGCAGCAAAAAAAGTGCTGGTTTTGTGCATTACAAGTATAAAGTAGGTCACGTCTGCGTGGTCAGACACAAGCATTTACAGATCATCTCCACCTATTCTCTAAGCCAGCAAGGTGCAGCCAGCCCCCATATCAAAGCTGTGAAGCAGGGTTAGCATGGCATTAAACCCCAGTTAGTAAGCCAAGGTGAAAGCTTACTGACTTGGGCTGTACTCTGGCTTAACCGGAGTGCAGAGCAGCTGGGTGGGAGTTAGATCTGGTGTACCTTGCAGTGCGGGCAAGTAGCTGAGCAGTCAGTCTCTGACAGGTACAAGTCAGTTGGCTTCCTGGGAAAAGCTAAGGTTGCCATGTCTTAGTTGCTCATGTCTCAAAGGGAGATGCAAGGAATAATTTTGGGCTAAGTCTGTAATTCTAAGTTTTCAGGCAAGAAACATTTCAAAACTGGCACTGACGTTGGGCCTCGAGCTGATGCTTTTGTGCTGAGTGCAAGGACATTGACTTAGTCCAGTCACAGAAACCATCGAAGCTAAATTTCTTTAAAGCCTATCTAACTTGATGGATTCGATTAATATTAGCATAATGTGGTAGGGATGAAGTGCGTTATCTAGTTCATGGGAACACTGTCAAATGATACAGATGATAGCCATAATACTTGGTATATTGAGTTATGCAGGAATTCAGCAAATAAACATAATGTATGATGTCCTCATGCTTGACCTCCCAAAATGATAGGGCATTCTCATGCAATTTATGCAGTAATACTGTATTAAAATATAGCCAGAAGGTATCGACATTAAAATTAGAAAGTGAAGCATGTCTCATTAATTTATAGAGGTATCTTTAGGTTGTCCGAGTGAGTTATGAGCGATAGCCTCAGTGTTTTTGAGCAAGGCGTGAAAGCTTAGAGTAGCTGTCGGTGCAATTCCAGACTGACACCATCCCGCCATGAAAGTTTGGGCTTGCACTGAGCACAGTCCATACATGAAGGTCATTTCTAACTGGACTAAGCTGTTCTGGGCTTCATGATTTGAACAGAAGTTGTCCTGCTGTCACTATGGTGTCTGGTGCCCAGACTGGAAGGTGTTAATTCTTTCAATGCAAGCTCAAGGAGTGCACGTAGATAAGGGAAATCGCCCAGACTGGAAGGTGTTAATTCTTTCAACGCAAGCTCAAGAGTGCACGTAGATAAGGGAAATTTAATTTTATTACTCACAAGCAAAAGAATGAGATGTGGGGGAAGAAGTTAGGATGGCACTGGGAGGAGGTCTAGGGAGAAGAGGTGGGGCAACACCAGAGGGGCAGCAGTGGGCAGAACGTGAACCTGAGCAGAGCAAGGTAACCTCCAGAATTGGGGCCAGGACGCTTCCTCAGAGCTCTGGCACAGCTCTGTGAGCAGCATAAGCTGCCAAACCCACTGGTGAAGTGTCTTCGTGCTGTAGGGGACGGCCCACGTGAAGGATACCAGTCTGTTCCTGCTGGCTGAGACTGGCACAATGGCTCAAGTTAGACATCTGTGGATCCGCAGTTTGGTTCCATGTGATGGAATTTCCCTTTTTAGACTCTGTGAGACGAAAGAAATAAGAAATTACATTTTAAAAGAAGTTTGCTGCAAGAAAGCACTTAAAGATACTAATTAAGTGTGGATAGTGAATATTCGCGATGATATCATTGTTAATGAAATGTTTGTTGGGGTTTGGCGGGACCCCAAGGCCCCTTCCTCATTCAGCCCTCAGCGTAAGCTACTCCCAGCAATCCACTGGTGCCATATAATGATCAAGACCATTTGTAGGCTCTGCCTTGCTTGGTTTAAAAATTGGAAGGTGCCTAGTGAATGAAGCATGGGATCAAAGGGATATTGCTTACAGGCTAGTGGTTTTCAACAATTATATGCTTTCCCTGCCTCTGCTGCAAACTTGCAGTTTGTTGTGCTACTTATTTAATTTAACCTGGAACTTCCCTAGTTCTCAGCAGCGCATTCTTCAGATACTTGTGGATGTGAGACACCTGAAGTTGCTGACTTGAGGCTGATGCCTGCCGTTTAGCATCACAGGACCTGGCTGTATTTTTGCTCAGTAGATTGGAAGTAGCAAAAGCTTTCTGAGGAACGGTGGGTCGGGTGATCCCTGGTAACTGTGCCCCGAAAAGCTTGCAGAGAGCGGTGGCAGTGGTGCCTGAAGAAGAACCTTTGCTTTCCCACACCTTCCACCTCTGCTCCCAGCGTGCTTCCATCTCTCCTTGAGCGGAAGGGAACAGTTTCTCCCCACAGCTTTTCTTACAGTGTAGTTAGATTGGACTTAGTTCCTCAACTTAATGCTATTTTTAATAATTGAAAAATGAAAGTCTTTACAAAGGTGGAGAGCAAGCAAGTTAATGTTACTATGGAAACATTAACTTTTTCTTGATTTTTGCTCAACACCCTTGTTTTACTATAGCTTGTCATCAATGTGTGTTTATTCATATTTTTGTATATGAACAAGCAGCCATAATTGTGATTCCTTGAGTATCAAAAAAACTATTGCCTTTTTAAAGTGTTGCGTTTATGCAGTACTCAGTACATAGGTGCATAGTGGTTGCGTGAATTGGCTAATTTAGTTAATTCTGTTAAACTGTTCACTGCTTTAGAGTTCCTTTCAATGATCTTAGTCCAAAATTTATTTTGAGTTCATTATAATTCTGTTTTTCTTAGAGAAGTCTGTACATGCTGATCAGTGCATCTGATGACATTTCAAGAACATTTAAATATTTAAAGTTGAATTAAGCTTCAAAGCTGGTGAATCAGTGTTTGATGTGAAAGTATATTATGTGTTGTCTGCTGAAGTGCTTACAGGGCTCAGGCTTCTCTTTTGAAAATCAGGAGGGTTTTTTTTTCTTTTAGAATTGAATCATCTAACTCCGATTTTTAAATCTATTGGGTTTAACATTGTCCTACTTTTCCAAATTTACCTCCAGAATCCTCTGTAGGGAGTGTAGGCTTGGAGTGTAATGTTTGCTGTCATGCCTATATGGACATGAGCTGAGTTCTAAGAAACTTTTTATTTTCTCCACCAGTATGAGAAGTAACCGTTCCTTTCACAACCTAAGGGGAGGTTGGCTGTGCTAGTGAAGAGAGAGCTATTACAAAATGAAAAAATATTTCAAAGGGAGGAAAAAGCATGCAATCGTTTTACCGGAAGGCAGCCTTTTCTTGGGGTAAAAACAGCTTGAGGAGACTGGATCAGGAGATGTGAAGCAGAGTTTACCAGCTCTGCCGAATTTGATGCATGCGTGTAGTCCCTTGGGCCCGCTGACCGTCCAACCTGCCGTTGAGAAACAGAAGAGTTACGTTGCTTTTGTAGTAGGAAATGCTAATGCGAGAGATTTGTACTGAGATCAGTCCGTTCTTTGGTGCAATCCTGGATTATTTTTTTTTTTTTTTAAAAAAACAAAGCACACGAGTATTGAGTGTATTAGAGGTATTTTTTTCTGGCCTTTTAAGGGAAAAAAGTTTAAAGAAAAAAGTTAAATTGTAAAATGGATGTGGTTACATACAGTTCTATGCTATATAGAGCGAGAAGCTAAAAAAATTGGAGATTAAAATAAAAACTTTCACTGATAAGTTCAAAGTAAACAAACTATTTCCTTCGTGGTTTTCTAAGAAAATATCATTGATTTAGTTGAATTAATCTTGTATTTCCATTTACAACCTTGGGGATAAGCAATTTGCACCAATGGACTTTCTTGTCAGGTCATCAAAAATACCAAAATGCTCATAAGTCATTTTGAATATGGCACATGGGAGATCCATGATGCTGTCAGTAAAGTCTAAACTATGAAGAACGGGTTTCGTAGTCCGCACCTTAAAAATCTGTAATTCTGATGCAGTCCTGCAATTACAGTTCTAGTTAAATCTTTGCCTGCTGTTTATTGGTTTTGGCTGCCAAGCCAAGCAAGATTTCCCAGCTCTCTTACTCAGAGTTAAAATGAGAAATTCGTACATTAAGGCGTGGCTGTGAAGGCTGGAACGTAATTATTCCATTCTTTTTGTAGGAGAAGGCTGTTATGCATGGGAATGCCAATTGAATTTCACTCTTTTGTTTCCAGGTCTCTGTGGTCAATCAGTTGGATATGCAAGTCATCGTCTCTAATGTTCCTCCCACCCTTGTGGAACAAAACAAAGATCAACTCATAGGGTAATAAATTTATTTACTCTACAAATATTGGACAATGCACTGGTTTTGTATTTAGATTCAGGACTGAATGCTCCCTTTAGGCCATGATCTCCTTTTTTGCCAAAAGACTTGAAAATGAGCAAGCGGATGTTCTGATGGGAAGCACAACTGGCTGAGATGACGGCACTGCCCCCCCCAAATCCACATTTTGCCCCTCCTCTGGAGAAGGCAGAGGTACAGCACTTCTTTGCTCGCACATTTGCCCACTTTGCAGGCTGAAACTTGGTTGAGCGCTGCCCCTAATACAGTCCATAGTGGAGCCTCCAAACACTGAGCGCAGAAGCTGCGTCTGTCAAAATCCAGGACGTAAAATAAAGCCCATCTCCAAAAGGTTGAGGCAGTGTGTCTCGGTGAGCTCTGTTGCTTCACTATGATGTTATTTGGGTTATATAGCTGTAAGGGAAAGCAGAGTTCAGAAAATTTATACTGGTACGATTAATACCACTAACATCATTACATAAAATTTTAATTGCTAAAAATTGGTAACAGGGTGTCATTATTCAGGCCTAGCAGGTATAAAATGTTGTGACGGGGCGGGGGGGGACAGGTGACTGGAAAATTAATGCTTTGCAATAAAAGCGAAGTGTTTTATTGTACTGGAAGCCCACTAAAATCTTTTTTGTCAAATATGTTTTAATAGCAGTCGTACACCACAACGTCATCAGCTTCCAGGAGTCAGGTTTTCACTTCTAGCTTCTTTTTGTAACAGAAGGAAAATTTTCTGTACTTTGTGTCATTAGGCATAGAACTATGAATTAGGCAATGCGGGAAAGAAAATACTATAGGAAATAGTTTAAAAACAATCTTTGTACTCTTCTGTCACTTTAGCCCATGATGAATGGCATTTCTCAGATTTCAGCAGGTCTGTTCCATCCCGGCTGTTGTCATACCTTTACTTCTCCATGGAACTTGAAATACCTTAGGGTTGATGATATAATCACTCCCTGAAAATGAAGTGTGTTGTCTCTAAATGGCTCATGTCTTCCCTGGGCTAGGACAAAATATTGACGGATTTGCTTCTGGAGATTTAGGACGTGTTCCCCTTTTCTCTCTCTGTTTGGAGCAGGGTGTAAGTTAGCTCTGATAGATTCGAACGTCAGAAACCCTAATTAAGTTGTTGAGGCAATAGTGTGTATTCACAGGGACTCCATTTCCCAGAGCTAAGAATACTAAAGGAGCCTGCTTGCTTAACACTTAAGATCTGGCTTTCCAAAAGTGTCATGTGTTGGTGTTGGCTGGAGAGACAAAGAACAATATGTCTTTTAGGGACAGTAATAGGAAAAGGTTGCTTCTGTTTTGCTAAGCCTTCAGGTTTGCCTTAGCATGCTGCACTGTACACATTTTAACTCATGCAGTAATTTGTAGCCTTCCTGGGCTTCTCTTTTCTTGAGTGGAGAAGATGAGCGTGTATTCTGTACCATGTTTCTACATGATGTAGGATAGATCTCATCCTAAATTGGCCTTCAGCTGTGTTTGAGATCCTCCCAGTTTTGGACTGTCCTGTAGCCAAAGGAGCCACCAGCAAAATACAGACGGCTCTTAACAGAAGGTGGTTTGAAAACAGGGTGGAACAAGCCTGGCTTGTCAACAGCATGACATACGTGTGTCGTGGGACTGAGAGCGTGAATGCTGCAACGGGTGGCATGGCAAGAATGGCAAGAGCAGATAGCGTCTTGCCCTTTCACCATCCCTGCAAAAATCTCCTTTTGCAAGCACTGGAGCAGCTTGCTTCCACCTCCCAGGAGGTCTCAGCAGTGTTCAGTGCCTCAACAATAAATTGTGCCGTAACCATACCCTCGCTCCTCTCCTCCAGGGCCTAGAGGAGTAGCTGGCATATCCTGCCGCAGTCTTGGAAATCGGCCCAGAGCCACACTCCCCAGTCTCTGTGCTCAAAAAGAACTCTTTTCTGCCAGGTTGGAGTCTTTCAGAACTGGTTTCATGCCGTTCTGGCCATGGTGCATGGAAGTCTCTGACAGATGTGTAAATATTTCACAGTGAATGAAGCTTTTGAATGAGTACAAAAATAAAAAAACATGGCCAGGTTTTGAGTTCTAAAAATCAGCTTGGGAAGTCTTCACCTTCACGAACACCGTGAGGCCAGCAAGCGAGTGTAGCGTAAGAATTTCACTTCTAAGGACAAGCGTTTATGCACAACCTTTGCCTGAGGAGATTGCATTAGCTGGTTATAAAATTGTCGTATTCTTTACTGAAAATAGTTGCAGAGAGCAAAAGTCTCAGAAAGAATTTTGCGTATGTGTACTTGTCTGTTTCACATAGAAATGTATTTATTTCATTGCCACCTTCAAATTTCTTAGATTTTCGTCCTAAAGTTTAAAAGATTGCACTCTCCCTGTTTTTATAAAGACTTTAATAATGCATTCAGGGCATAAAAACAAAACAATAGGAATTTGTGGTTTTTCATGTGCTATATGGAAGATATAACCACAGGCAAAGGGAAACCAAATAATTTGGAGACCTTCTCAGGCTAAAGTACTTTTGCCCAAAGTGGTTTCTGAGCCATTTCAAATAATGAACTAATTTATAAAATTAGAATACTTTGTATAATTCATTAATAGATAAAGAGACTATGTCATTAACTAAATTAGTCACTACAGAGGTTATTCGGCTCTTTCTCCTCTCATTTTGGCATTGGAGTGATGGTAAATATTAATCCCTGAAAATATAACATTTGATCACCAATTGCAATACTTGGTGATGGGGAATGTTAGGGAAGTGGGTAGCTGGCTCATTTTTGAAATTATAGTGATTTTTCACAATGAAATAAATAGTGATTTAAACAGCTTTAGAGAAGAAGTTATGACAGATTCTCCCCAGCTGCATCTAATTTTCACTAGAGAGTGGATACAAGGTACTAAGAAATACATAATTCAGTTCTTCCACGCTGGAAAGGCTTACTCAGCACAGCCCTGAGATGTATGTTGGTTAATGGTCCAAATAAAGGAAGCATACCATAGCAGAAAAGATTTAAAACCTCACTATCTATTTGGCTTGGGAGTTTGGGCTTTTTGAGGGATACAATGGGTTCGTCTTCAGCTGACGTTTCTGATAGTGTCATGATCCTTTGCGGTCATTCAGTAAAGCACCTCGGTTTTCCTGCCAACTGCTTTAATTTCATCAACAAGCTTTTCATATCCTCTGGACTGCACATCAATGTCAGATTTGCTGTTTCTCTCACCCACTTCAATTATGTCTGTTCAGATAGGTCTGTCTGTGTCTGCTACAGAAGATGACAGAGAAAATGGAGCAAGGCTTAGTGGAAAATTCAGCGCGTGTTCCTCTCCTTCAGAACTCTTGGTGGAGGCAGATGACACAATGTTCTTTAAATACGGCGATGTTTGTGACCGCTTACTTGTTGGGCAAGGAACAGCATTTCAACTAGAATAAAATAGCCAACTTCATGCTGACAGCGTTTAGTTCTTTGGTTTTCACGGGACTGCAACTGAAAGTAGATAATGCCACGTTACCCAGAGAGACCTGTGTTTCTCTCAGTCCATAGGTAATAGAAGTCTCTTGTGAGTTAAATTCCTCTGTATGCACTTCCGTAGGTGGCAAATAATTTTCTCTGAAATGGAGTAATGGAATGACTCAAAATGAGTGAAATACTCCATAGACGTTCCTCTTGAAAAGGTCGGTTTTGCCCTACAGCCTACAAACCCTACAAAATGGAGATAATATTGCTTAGGGAACTCTCTTTTCCTGAACTAGAGCTAGCCAAAACCATTTGGGGATCATTTTCAATGTTAAGGTTTTTTGTGCATTGCGTGTGCTTTCGGAGACGATCAGGTGGGTAAAGGAAACATGTTTCACTGCACTTGGACTGGTCTGGAGTTGTTAAAGAACGGTATGAGGATTGTCTCCTCAGTTTCAAAAATGATACCAGGTTTCCCATCTTCTTCTTTCCTCCCTGTAGTGAAAAGTGAGCCTGGAAAGAATGGAGCTTCTTTTTCATCCATATGAAGAAAATCTCCTAGTGGTGGAGTAGGAATCTTTCATTAGAAAAGAGAGTCTAATGGAATCACCTCATACTGCTAGTAAATGTGCATAGATATGACAATAGATAATAGATATTTAATAATAAATGATGTAATAAGTATAAATACTTAAACACTAAAACCTCGACTTCCCACATCAAGAAGTTTCTGTAGTCTCCTGTATTTTCAGTGTGGTCTCAGTGGCGATTCCCTTTCTTTATATTTTGACTTCATAACGGGTGAGTCATGGTGCCTTTAGGAGTGCAAAGGCAGAGACCCCCAAGTGCTTGTACGAGTTGGGTAGCGTGGGCTTCTGAGCCTGCCTTCTCTCTGCAGCACTCGAGCAGTTTTTGCTCTCCTGGGCTGAGGAATGTAGGTGCGTGCAGCCTCCTGGCCGGACCGGCCTCTGGAACTGGAATCCAAGTGCGGATGTTCTTGGGTAGCAACTTTATCCGTCTTCTGGATGTTCATGTGTGTCTTAATAGAGGTTATTCCCTTCTTTTCAAGACAAAATTACCGGAAATAGCACATGTGATAATTCCGGGGAACTTTCCTTCCTGTGTATTTTGGCCTGTTAGAGGCTGCAATCCTTTAATACCTTAGTGCTTGTAAAAGAAGGAGGCAGTTCCATAGTTAAAGAAAATCCACACTCAAACCTCTAATGCAATGTAGAAGTGACCAGGCAGTGTTTTTACTAGGAAATCCAAACATAAAATCAAGTGCTGATCCTCGGAATGTTCAGCCTGCTGACCTGATAGTTTGCATATAGAAAGTTGACTGCCATCATTTCTCAAAGGAGTGTATGCTCTGCTTTGCTGCATCGAAACTGTGGTCCACTTAAAAGAAATGTCGTAATATATACTATAGCAATATATATTGCTATACATTATATAACGTAGTATATATCGCATGTACATTGTACATCACATATAATTGTATGTATAATCTTAGTATGTGAGATAATATATT